AGAGGGGAAATTGCTCATAGGGTGTACATCAAGCGTGTTTCCTGCCCCACTGATAAGATCTGAGTTATCTGTGGGAAAGGATCTGTCACTCATGCCTCAAGACAGGTTGACCCATTGAAATGGTTATCACCCAAAATATCCATTGTGTAGACTGGACATTCGATTGTGCACACCAGACCTAATCCATTAAGCCCATCACAGACTCTTTTGCATATTGCCACACCACGTTCCTTTTCAAAGCACCTCTCTCAAAAGTGGACCATTAAACATGACGGTTTATTGAATTTTCCACCCCCAGTAAGATTCCATCAGATGGTTGCCACATGGGTGCCGTTGGCATTTTGCTTGCATCTGTGGCTGGCATCTTCAGAGGTCTGTTGGAGGTGAGGCAAGTGGAGTGTATATATACCTGTGAAATGTCCAGGGTGGGAGAAAGAACCCTTGTCTGTAAAGCAAGAGTGAATGTTACAGTTAGCAAGCTTGAATAGCATTGAGTAGCCAGAAAGCTGCAAAATCAATCAGTGAACGTATCTGCATAGAGGTAGTCTCACTATTGTTGCCTGATGGCATCCTCTGTTTGGAAGGTGTTAACTGGCAATTTGATTGTTTACTGTCTGGAGTTCCTTGTTTTTTTAGTGGTGTTTGTTATTTACTGTCTAGATTCTCGTGTTTTTTTTAAATATTGGCAATGAGATTTTGTTCGTTTTCATGGTTTCCTCTTTTCTGTTGAAATTGTTTACGTGCTTGTGGATTTCAATGGCTTCCCTGTGTAGTCTGACATGGTGGTTGTCAGACTGATCTAGAATTTCTGTGTTCTCAGATAATATTCTGTGTTCAGGTTGGTTCATCAAGTGCTATGCAATAGCTGACTTCTCTGATTGGCTTAGTCTGCAGTACCTTTCATGTTATTTGATTTGTGTCTGGGTGCGCTTGGTGGTCCCTATGTAGACTTGTCCACTGTTACACAATATACGGTAATTTCCTGCAGTAGTTAGAGGATCCCTCTTATCCTTTGCTGATGTAGTATTTGTTAATTTTTATTGGTTTGTCTGTAGATTGTTTGTATGTCATATTTCTTCAACAGCTTCCCTATGCAGTCAGTAGTTCCCCTGATGTATGGTAAGAACTAGGCATGTTTGAGGAAAAAAAAAAGGTTCCAAACTCATTTCGGAAGTAGGGGGTGCTGGTGCTTCGATTCTAAAGTCACTTCCTTAAAAAAAAAAATTCAAAACTTTCCGAAACTTATAAAACAGCTTCGTTAATAGCAGATATTCATGCGCAGTAGGAAAAAACAGCACTGGCGAAACTTCAGGGGCTCTTCCACTGAGGCCACTCCTGACCGAAGGGCTCTTCCACTCCAGGCCTGCCTGGAGGGGCCAAAGTTTGCCCAGGCCTGGTTTAGATGCAGCCATGCCAGAGTTCAATGTTATGGGATCCTGGGGTTTGTAGTATGGTGCTCTTTTGCAAAGGATGCTCAAAAACCATGCAAAACTACAGCTCCCAGGATTGTGTAGCATTCAGGCAAAGCAGTTGGAAGTGGTTGTCAAACTTCATGTAAACAAGTTCCTCGATAACATCTGCCTGATCCGCCTGGACGGAAGGAGGGAGGGATGGAAGGGAGGCAGGGAGGGAGGGAGGGAGGGAGGGAGGGAGGGAGGGAGGAAGGGACGGAGGGAGGGAAGGGAGGGAAGGAAGGAAGGGGGGAGGGAGGTGCTTCTGACAGGTTCTCCTTCCTTTCCAAAATTGGTCGCTTTAACCAATATCCAAATCAACCGTTAGTGCAGCTGATCTATGACAGAAAGCACCATCTCCTTCCTCCCTTTCCCATTTTCTCCCGCCTTCCCCCTTTCCCTTTTTCAAAACACAGCATTGGCTTGATCCTGTTGAGCAGTGGCTGCCTCCTGCCTGGCTAAACTCCCAGTTGCCAAGCCTTGAGATTGGGGTGAGAAGGCGGGGTGGGGGTGGGGAGTGAGGAAAACTCGGTTTGAATGGAATGCAAACAAACCCACTTTCTCCTCCTCTCCTTTCTTCTCTCGCATCTCACGGAACCTCAGAGCCGGAGAAAAGAAAACTGGAGGTCTTTAAAACCCGATTCCCTCCCCCATCTGTGGATTCTTCTTGAGGGGATTGGCAGTGGCCTTTCTCTCCATTCTGAATAACTCATGCGAATCGCTTTATACGGGATTCATTCAAAATTGATAAATGGCAGCTTGGCTTTCCTTTCCCCTTCACAAATCCATAGATCAATGTTTTTTTATTCTCCCCAAAACCATCCACCTTTCCTCACTTTCATTCTAACATGGGAATTGGGATGGGAAAGAAAGAGAAGAGGGGAAGACATGCTGGCTGGTTTCTGACTTTCTTACTATCTTTCCTCAAAGTTAGCAACAGAAGGGTGGGTTGTTTTTTTGTTTGTTTGTTTGTTTGTTTGTTTTGTGGTGGGTTGAGACACAAAGGAAGTGAAGTGAATCAGATCGGGAGATCACCATCCTGAGGGGGCTTTGTGAAACAATGGGGTTTGACTGGAGAGTGCGCTTTCCTATAAGCTCAGGCTGCACGAATCCATTTCTTTCTCTCCATCTCTCTCTTTTGTGTCTGTGATCGCTGCCACTGGATTCTCCCTCCTCCTTCTCCAGGCCTGGAGTGGAAGAGCCCCTCGGTCAGGCTGAAGCTTGGCAGAAGGAGCCAAGCAGCTCCGGAGGGAGAATCCACCTGGTAATGTGGAGGAGGAGGAGGAGCCTGCTGCTCGGCCATTTTGGCTAATGAGCAGCAAGGCAGTGTGGGAAATGTAGTTTAACAACAAGGTCTTTTCCAATCTCTACCATTGGGGGCCTTCCCTTCACAAACTACAACAATGGCTGTGCTTAGCCACGCCTACCTCACCCCTTCTTGCATCGCCCCAGGAGGGGAAGCAAAACTTTACAAAAGTTGCTTAATACTTGTGAAAATTAAAATAACCTTAGGAGACTTCCGAACATTATGGAATATTTATGAATAAAAAAGGTAAGTGGTTCAAATTCGGAATTACACCTACTACTTTTCCTGCATGGTTCAAAATTGATTCGGAAGACCAAATTCGGTAGGTTTTAACGACTTTTAGGTTTTAACGAAGCGAACTTAAACAAGACTAGTAAGAACACTTTTCATCTGGGTGGATCTTTATCTTTAGTCTTGTGGCTTGTTCACGGTGTTGCAACTCTTCTGATGTGTGTGGTGGAGTATCCATTGGCCTGTAGAGCCCAGTTTAGGTTATTCCATTTACATTGGAGGAGGTGGGGTTCACAGATCCTGTTTGCATGGTCTATTGTACTTCTTTTTTGACCTGGGTGATGGTTGGAGTTTTTGGTTGGAATCTATCTGTATGTGTAGGTTTTCTGTAGACATTGTGTCCCAATTGTTGATTTGTTTTGCCGTTGACTAGGACAACTAGAAATGGTAGTTTTCCTTTCTTTCCTTTTTCCATAGTAAATTGGAGGAGTGGGTGGATTTTGTTGATGTGATCCAGGACTTCTTCAGTTCTTCTTCTCCATGGCTCCAAATGGTGAAAATGTCATCCACATATCTGAACCGCATAGTGGATTTTTGGTGCTGTTTCCAGAGCTTGTTTCTCACAGTGTTCCATGTAAAAATTTGTCACAGCAGATGTGGATCTAATAAGTGACATTGTCAAAGGCTTTCATGTCCGGAAACATTGGGGTGTTGAGTGGTTTCCTCTGAAGATGCCAGCCACAGATGCAGGTGAAACATTAGGAGAAAATGCTACTAAAACCCATCCATATAGCCTGGAAACCAGACTACGTCCCAATAATAAGTGACATTTGCAGCCCATGAGGAGTTTGAGATTCTGCATTTCATTACAGCTATATCAATAATTTTGGATCACCTTCTCAGCACTGGAACAAGAGATAAAAACCAAATTTACTAAATGACTGAAATACAGAATTCTGTTGTGAGCTCTGACATTGTCCTGATATGGTTGTTAATAACTATATTTGCTATGGATTCAGAGCTGTCATGCACATTTCTTCCTCTTGTTTTGTCAAAAGGCATCACAGTATTGCAGAGGGAAATGTACATAAGTTTGAACTATACTAGGATTATTAAAGCATCAGAGTTCCCTCATAATCCGAGCCCTTAAACTGGAGCAGCATTTCTCAACCTGGGAGGTACAATGGGCATTTCACAGGAATTGCCAAAGATCATCAGAAAACCCATATTTCTGATAGTCTTAGGAAGCCCTTCAGCAGAGAAGGCTGAATATCTTTCCGCTTGTCCTTCCCTTCCTCTTTGGAACCAGATAGCAAATCCTCCCACCAAAAGCCTGAGATTGGCCAGCCTCTCATAGAGCCTCTCAGCCAAGGGGAGGGCTGTTTCTGACACTCCAAGTGGGAAGGGGCAAGCAGGTATACCCAGGGCATGGCAGTGTGGTGCGCATGCATGGGCGAGGGAAGGTGCAGGAGGATGAAGGGAATCTCATGCCTGTGAGTCTCTTCAAGGCAGGGGGAAAAGCGCCCGTGCGACGTGGGACTGAGTGTGACCCAGCAGCATCAGGAGGAGGAGGAGGAGCAGCAGAAATCCCAGCAGGCAGAGTGCAGGTAATTTTGGACTCACCCTTATGTTTTGGATGAGCACTGCAGTGTAAATAGAACGTGTTTTAATTATCACCGTGGCAAAAAATAATAATAACCAAAGATAACTAATTAAACATATTTATCTCTACCTGCTTTTCCGTAACCTGAATGATACATGTCTACAAATAATTGAAGTTATTTCCCTGGAAAATTGATTACCCTATTTCATTTCAGCCACATAATACCAGGTTTTGTAATTAGTAACACAATCTTGCTGAGTTTTGCATTGAACTCTGTAGCATGATTTGACTGCTTCAAAGGAACTAAACAGCAGTGTTCTCTAACAGACATCAGGCAGAAACCCAGAGAATACAACTCGACACTTCCTTGCAGTGAATTTCACAGAAAGCAGTAATAATGGTTATCAATATGCCTATAGCTAAAATCATTTTATTGATCATTTTTGAAATTGTGTCTTTTATTGGTATTTTGGGAAATGGATTCATTCTAATTGTGAATGGACACCAATGCTTCCAAAAGAGAAAGATGACCCCTTATGATTTCCTTCTGACCATCCTGAGTTCTTTCAGGTTTATCATGCAGTTGGGTTTTCTGATATACTACATTTTGTACTTCACTCTAAAGAGTAATTTACATCTTTTCTTAGGTGATCCTATTTTCTTTACCTGGATGTTTTCCGACATGATCAGCCACTGGTCTGCCACATGGCTCAATGTTTTCTATTGTGTAAAGGTCGCCAACTTTGCCAACCCCGTCTTCCTCTGGCTCAAAGCAAAGATCAATGTGCTTGCACCCAGGCTGCTTGGACTGTCAATAGCCATTTTCATGGTCACTTGTCTTCCTTCACTTGTTCATTATTTTGGACACATGAAGTGGTGCAATCTGACAGAGACTCTGCTGGAGAATGCCAGCCAAAGAGAGGTTTGTGGCTTTCCTGGCGTTATTTTTCTTCCCATTCAACTTTCTTTTAATGTCATAAATTTGTGCCTAAGCACAATTTCAGTCATTTTTTTGCTTGTCTCTCTGTGGAGACACACAAGAAATCTCAAGAAAAGTGGTGTTGGTGTTAAGGACTTCAGCACTCAGGTCCACATTAAAGTCATGGCCTTTTTGTTGTTCTGGTTCCTTTTCTACTTTGTATATTTCATTGCTCTGATGGCATATTCTGACTTCATCATTTGGACAGATTATGGGTCAGTTCAAGATCTGCATACTGGTATCTGGATATCTGCGTTTCCTTCTGCACACTCTATTATACTAATATCAACCAATCCTAAACTGAAAGAAATTTGTATTCATATCAAAAAAGAAATCTATGCTCACATCATAAGCATCGGACACAGCACTTCCTAACATGAAAAAAGGGCAGCAGACATTTAACCATTATGTACAAGGGAGGAGAAGACATTCCTCTTTCCATCCCATTGAGTGAGTGTAACGTTGCATATATGACCAATAGATCAACAGAATTAAATTACTATTAAGGATCACTAGAGAAGTTTGTCCTTTTTGAAAATACACAATTGATACAACTATAAGACTGACAGTACGCCTTCCATAAATCTGCATTCTTGGAACGCCTAGCCTCCCCTCGAAATGTGATGTATGATCCATTACTGGATATGTGCTTTCGGTACTTTGCAAGATTTGTTCTGAGGGTATTTATCATTGCTTTCCTAAGATAATATGACTAGCTCAATGTTAGCTAGTGAGTGTTGATGCCTGTCGATCCCAGAGCCCTAATCCAACAAAAGATGAATGATAAGATGGACCTAAAATTTAGAGCATAATATACATAATATACATAGAGCATAATAAAAGTGGAGTAAAGACATACAATTTAGTTTGTATGGTAATTTAAAAGAAAATATGTATAAGATGATGTATAGATGCTATTGAACCCCAAATAGGATATCGAATGTTTCAGATCAATGTTGAGGTTGTCATGATAAGGAAAACATTTTTTGTCATGTGTGGTTGGTGAACTTCCAGTAAGGTAAAACTTGTTGATCTAAGATTTATATATTAGAGCAAAAATTGTAAAGGTCTTTCAATGTCATCAGATATGTGTATGTTGGGAATTATTTATATAGAATTGAATATAAAAGGTGGAATATTTCTTGTGACGAAATGAAAATAAGCTTAGTTCACATTTGATCAGCCTACACACTGCCTTGCTAGAGAAAGAAAATATGCCACACAGATGAAAAGAACAAATAGTTTATTCTTTGTAGTTCAGAACAACATATTTACAATCATGTGATCAGTTGCATCAACTCACATAATGTCCTTTTATGAGAGATTTAAAATGGTATCTCTTTGTTCATGTAGATTAACTCCTTTAGAAGCTCATGAAGCAAGAGTACACTCCAAACTGTCTCCCTCTCTTCTTCTTTCTCTAGACTGTCACTCTCTGCTCTTGCATAGTTCAAGCCTGAACAAAAATAAACAATATCCAAAAGACTCAGGCTTAGCCATCACCTCGACCAATCAGATCCATGCATCTTATTTTGTAGTTGACAAACACACATTAACTGATTCCTTGCACGCTCCAACACTCCAACATGATGACAGCAAGAAGAAAACTGCTCAAATTTGGAAATGAAGAGAACCACTGATGGTGGAAGAATGGATTGCTGAGGTTGTAGGTTTTGCCCAGGTTGCCAATTTGATGCAAATTTTGAAAGATTTTGAAATTGAAGAGTTTCTGAAAATCTGGAAATAATTTATGTACATTTTGAGCAATAGGAAATAATTCAAATAATGATGCTATCCCTGTAATGGTAGATTAATATATTTTAATTGTTATATTTTTCATTGCATTAGAGTTTTTGTGCTATAGTTAGTGATCAATTTCTGTCATGATAAACTAAAATAGTTTAGCATGATAGAACAGAAATGTGTTAGAGATTTAGTTTAGTTTAAGTTTGATAATACATGTTTATATATATATATATATATATATTCTTTTTTATTTTTAAGAAGGTTGATTGTTCTGTTGTGAATTAGTTTGCATTAAAAATCAATAAATATAAAATCTCTTAAATGTCATGATAAAGTGATTGTAATGACATATTGGAATCCATGGTAGAAGAATGATCTGCCACATGCAAATAACTGTTGGCACTCACCGTTCACAATGTTGGTTAGTCCAGAGTCATACACAATTATCCATTCAGCAGAGGCAAGGCACAGGAATAGTCAGGGTACAGTCCAGGGTTCAAGCCAAGCAGTATCACCAAATCCAAATGGTCTTCTAAAGCATAGTGAAATCCAGGAAGGGTCAAGGTACAAGGCAAGTGTAGTCAACCCAGCAAGAGTCCAGGTTCACGGCAAGAATTCGCCATCAGGGATTCTAGCTGTACAGCTCAACAAAAGTTGCTCCCAGCACAGAACCAGACAATAGATCTGATGCCTTATGAAACTCGGTTATTTTGAATCTGCTAAGAAGTTAAAAATGACCAGAAAACAAACTGAGGGGTGGCAAAAGATAAAAGTATTGAAAGTACAGAATTGGATAGAGATAACTACAGAAAATAGGAACATTTTAAAACATTTCATATATATTACTTTTCTTTATTAAGACAAGTGTCAGTTCAAAAATAGAGGAATATTTTTAAAAAACAGGATTCACCACTGTAATTATCTCTATCCCATTTTGTTTCAGATTCACAAAGCCTGAAGAGTTAGCGAGTAAGGGAGGTCTTACGGATTATAAAGATGGCCATCTTCTGGGAGGGCTTCCCCTGGACTTCCTTCCTGGCCAGGCCCGTAGCCAGGATTTTGATTGGGGGGGCTGAGTTTGATTTGGGGGCTGAGTCTGAGTGAAAGAGGGTCCACCCTAGCAAACCTTTTGTATCGTTACCCCAATACCCCAATGCATATGGGATATATTGAGTATGGTGATGAGATCATGATGTAAATAAACATAACAGTTTAAATAATGCACCAGTAAGGCCTTCTCGCAGACCAACATGGGAATTTGGGGGGGGGCTGAAGCCCCTCAAGCCGTCCCCCCCTGGCTACATGCCTGCTTCTGGCTGAAAAAGGTTCGGCTGGGTGGTCTTACTATTATCACATGGTTATCTGTGTAAAATGGGTATAAAGGAATATACAGTCCTTGTTATTCCCTCTTCCACAATAGATATGCAGAGAATTAGTTAAGACAAACCAATTCCTCGGTCATTCCAGACACAGGGTCATTTCAGAGCAAATCCCCCATGTATCAGAAGCACGTTGGCTACCTCCCACTTAATTGTCCAATAACCATAGAAAGCTTAAAGTATTTAGAAAGATATAATAACTTTATTGTTACTGTATATTGTACAATAAAGGGAAATGCTTTCCTCAACACACATAACAAAAAACAACATACCCATCCCTTCATACTTCAACCATCAACCACCATTTCAGAAGGAAGGTCTGTTTCTGTGAATGGGTTGCTCCCCTTTTGACTTCAGGGTACACCATATCAGTTCTTAATAGAAAAAATATTCTGATGTCTTTGTTTTTAGTCTCTTCCTTTTCAGCTGCTTGTACATTTCTTTTAATAATAATAATAATAATAATAATAATAATAATAATAATAATAATCTTTATTTATACCCCGCCGCCATCTCCCTAACGGGGACTCAGGGCGGCTTACATGAGGCCAAGCCCAAATAACAAATTACAATAAAATAAGATATAAGTTATGATAAAATAAACAACATCGCAGTAAAACACAGAACGTATGACTACAATCATTTTTCAATCATTGAAAATTAAAGGCGGTGACTTCCTGCATAAGGCATGCCTGCTGAGCATCTCAATCTTCTTTGAAGAAGAATAAATAAATGAAGAAGAATAAATAACTCGGCAAGTGGGCAGCTGAAGAGTGGCAGGATCATGCTGTGGAATAGAGAAAGGGAAGGGAGAGGAGAGAAAGGAGTGGGGGGGGGGACTAGAAGGGGAGGGGAAGGGAAGGGAAGGGGGAAGGGGAGGGGGGAGTGAAGGAGAAAGGGAGGAAGAAGGGACAGGGAAGGGAATGGGGAAGGGGAAAGAGGAGAGGAAGGGTAGGGAAAGGAGGGACAGGAGAAACAGAAAGGAAGAGAGGAAGGAAGAAGGAAAGAAAGAAAGAAAAGGTGAAAAGAATAATAGAAAGCAAACGATATGGAAAAAGAAGGAGAAAAAGAAAAGAAAGAGAAAGAGAAAACAAAGGAGAAGACCAAAATATCAGGAAAAAAGAAAAAGTGAATAGAGAAGGGCAAAGAGAGGAGAGAAATCGGAGAGAGAAGAGACAGAAAGAAGGGGAAAGAGTTAAGAGACGGGAGACAGATGAGTCAGATGTGTGAAGTATGTGAGATGTGTATAGTGTGTGATGAGAAAGAGATAAAAAAATAGGAAAAAAATAGAAAGAAAGATATAAAAAGAGAAAAGAGAAAAGTGATATGGTAAGGGTAATATGAAATGGGCAATGTGTGTGAGGTGTGCATGTGTGGTGTGTAATGTGCGATTTGTCTGGTATATGAAGTGTGTGTACTGTGTATGTGATATGTGTTCTGGGCAATATGCGTGTTCTGTGTGAAGGGTGTGATATGAAATGGGCAATACGAAATGGGCAAGATGTGTGAGACATGTGTGATGTGTGATGTGTGTGGTTTGTCTGGTGTATGAGGTGTGTGTATTACGTGTGATCCAAGATGTGTGTTCTGTGTGATAAAAATGTTCTTTGTGATGTGTGTGGTGTGTCATATGTGGGGAGATGTGGAATGGGAGGGGGGAAGGAGGAGGGAGGGAGGAAGAAAGGGAAGGGAGGGGAAGGGAGGGAAGGGATAAAGGTTAGAAAGGGAAGAGGGAGGGGAGAAGGGAGGGGAGGGGGAGGAGGCGGAGGGCATGGAGGAGGGGGATTGGAGTGAGAGGGAAAAGGAAGGGGAGGGGAGGTGAAGGGGTAAAGGAAAGAGACTCAAAAGGAAAGAGAAAGAGATGGATGGAGCAGGATTGAACATACAGACTTTTGTATTTAAAAAAAAACAGAAAAAGAGAGGGCAATTCAGCCTGCCTTCCTTCAACCAGGCCTTCCACTCTCATCTCAAGATGTTTTGGGTTGAGTTCTGTCAATGACTGGCCAATACTGTGATTTCCTGGCAACCCATCAGGAAGAAGGCAAAATGCCTTGGCATAGTGTTTCTCTTGATTTCCGGTGACTCTATCTGGCTCTCACATCTGGTCTTGTCTCCTTTTGTCTCTGCAAATTCACTTTTTGAAGTCTTTGCCACAGAGATCACAGCCAAAAAGCTGGGGTTGATGCAGCTGAAACCCTGGCTGAAATCTTTGCCATATCCCAACACTTGTGAGGCTTTTTACCTGAGGAT